ATACTCTGGAAACCTTCATTGTCCGGCTGATTAAGACGAATCAATGGCCTTAAAACGCAATGCAGCCTGAAACATGAATCTATGGCTTGACGACGAGGAGCTGAATGTCCGAAAATTCAATTTCACATTTAATTAAAATACCTTAAATACCCAAAACAACTCAATCTCTTACTTTCTACGGATTTCTTTTGCCACATAACTGCAAAAACAGCAACCGTTTTCTCTCTAATTCTCTGCAACGAAGCAATCAAGACAAGCACAGGTCTTGAGCTCTGCGTTATATCTTGAAGTAATGGAGATGGGGACCTGCACGAACATCATGTCATCGTCTCACAAACGCACGCACACCTCACAGTGAGACTTTCTCACGTCAGAGTAAAAATAGGTGTAAATCTCATTAACATCGACTTCACAGAAAAGCAGGATGGAGGTGATAATTGAAACCTGCCATCAGCAGCAGAAGAAATTAAACACTAGACACTGCCTTCTCTCATTATCTGCCACGCTATAGTTCAGCCCGCTCTCAAAACACTTCACATTCAGCTCATTACATCAATAATTCACCCAAAATGAAAGTGCTGTCATCGTTCGCTCACCCTCATGTTGTTTCAAACCTGCATGATGGTCGTTCTTCAACAGAAAACTAAAGGAGATGTTTAACAAAACATTTCAAACACTGAAAATCAATGAGGACGGATAAAAGCAGCATTATAAAAGCAGTGTTTATGACTTGAGCACTTCAGAAGACCTGCAATCAACATTATTATAGTATCATTAATATACTATTAGAGTATTTATTATTATTTTGAATTAGCTTTTAGTTTTATATGTTCAGTTGTCTTCTTAATTGTATTTCAAGCTTTAATCATTTGTGCTTTTGTTTCATACTGTATGTGCTTTTATCATTTTTATTAGTTTTTGGGGTTTATTTTACAAAAAAATATAAAAATATCAATATATACACATTAAAACAGCTTTTAATTTTATACCGTCAATTTTCTTATTTTATTTTATTTAAAGTTTTAGTCACTTGTTTTATATGCCACTGTGATTAGCTTTTTGAGCTTATTTTACAAAAATATGAATATATACATTAAAACTTCTGACAGTTTTTTAGGTTTATATCATATTATATCTATATCTATCTATCTATATCTATCTATCTATCTATCTATCTATCTATCATCTATCTATATATATATATATGACCAAATTTTACACATACACATTTATATATATATATATATATATATATATACACAGTATATACACATACACACACACACATATGCCATATTTTTGTGAGTAAAATTTCAACTGAAGTTTTTGTTAAATTTTTTCTAATTTCTAACTATTTCTAGTTTCTAATAATTTCTCATTTCTAATAATTTTTAACAAGTTTTAGATTTAGTTAACAATACTACCTACAATATGTCGCACAAGTCATACGGTTGACTTTTATAATTCTTTTTTTTTGTCATTTTATCTCATCTTTGGAGGTTGAAAGAGTCTGTTCTAAGAAAAAGAAACGGGAAACATCTTTTGTTTTCCACAGAAGAAACAAAGTCAAACGGTTTGAAATAGGGCTGGGCGATATGGCAAAAAAATTAAATCTCGATTTTCTCAGAACATTTGACCGATTCTCGATTTTGTACGATTTTTAACTAGTCAACTTGAAAATGTAACTACAACATGATTCAAGTAACTTTTTCTTTATTAACCCTCTAGTTAAAGAAAATTCTATTCCAAGTGCACCACACAAAGTTGTCAACATGATGTAAATGTTAAACAAATCCCTTGTTAAATATCTTTGCAGAAAAGACACAGGAACTACAACTACATCCTGTACAAACTTGTCTTATACATATTATATGTTCAGAAATAATACTAGAAAAATGCTTTAAAAAAATCTTAAAAGTCAACGTAATTCAAATTCAAAATGACTGAAGGTATTAGACCAGTAGACGATTATTAACTATAAATGTTCTGTAAAAACAATGAAGAGCAGCTTTCAGCCTGTCAGCATGTTGCAAACATGAAATATCGGACATACAGTAGTAGTTCTTTACAGGTTTTTTATTCGCTTGCGCTGCTTTTCCATTTTTTTTCTATGTAAACATGGACACGTTTGACTGTTGCATTCGCGTTTCATGCATGAAACGGTTTTATAAAACGAGGTGCTCTAGTTATTAAAAGATGTTCAACTCCCATCTTCTTGCATTTTTTCCTATTCCACTGCCCGCGTCGCATCTCCGTCAACACAAAAGCGCATTCTGTGTGAATGGCACCAAGCGATATATTCTACTTATGGTCCTTCACAGAGCGTGTCACACGTGAGCGGTAGGGCTGCACGATATATCGAAAATATCGAAATATCGCAAATGTAAATATTGCGATATGCATATCGCAATGGAATGCGATATTTGAATCATTTTAATAATAGGCTACTTAAATCAAAATTCGTAAACACAGTCGGTTATGTTTTAAATGAATGTAAACAGCTGAGAAATAAATCGGATGTGTATCATTATACTGGATCCGTGCAGTCGGATTTAAAGGGACAGCAGCCTATAAATACGTGCTGCTGAATATGTCACTAATGTAAACAAAACAGCTATAACAAAGATTAATCTAAATTTAATTAATACAGTGAGCACTATGCAGTGTTATTTTACACTTAATTATTAAATTTCTGTACCTAAATACTATTTATTTGATCTATTCTTGTAAATTGTGTATTTGTTCTTTTTTCCCCCTTTTTCTTTCTTTTTTTTTACTGACTGTTCACTTGCCTTTAATCATGTTTAAACTTTCTCAGACTATAGTTTTTGCTGTGGTATATGAAGAAGTACTGAACGTGTATGGAAAGCAAAGTCACAATGATATCAAATTAGTGTCATTCATTTTTTTGTCATTCACACTGATGTTAAAATTACATTTTCTGATTTGTGACATTACTTTTTATGTACTGCTAAAACACTGCTGGTCACTTTCAGAAGTTGTAGTGATTCTTTCTTTTCCAAGAAAGAATGTGAAACAAATTGGTTGTATAATTTTCATTTTTAAATATTTTAAAATATAATTTAAATAGATTTTTCACACTTTAAGCAATATCGTATCACATTTTTTAACAAGGTATCGCGTATCGCATTTTTTTCAATATCGCACAGCCCTAGTGAGCGGTTAATTACGTGCGTTCTTTTCTCTTTACTGTTATTGCCAAAGTGTCTAATTCTAACGTTTGGCAATATTTGTATTCAAAATGGCGATTCCTCGATTTATAAAAAAATTAAATCGTGGCAAAACATTACATTCGAATTAACCGATAAAATCAGAAAAATCGCCCAGCCTTGTTTGAAACAACACGAGAGCGAACAAACCCTCCTCCCGCTCGTCTTCATCAGATGCAAATATCTGCAGCACAAACGGTTCTTTCCCAAACGAGCTCAGTCTCTCCCATCATCTGTTCAGAGCGAGAGGATCTGAAGTTTATCTGCAGCACCGTTTATTCACTATCTGTGAACAGGGACTGCAGAGACTGGATAAACGGCAGAGGAATGGAGGGAAGTTGTTGACTTTGCTAGAGGACGCAGGAGAAAGAGAGCGAGATAAAGACTAGAGATGTGTTTGACAGCGGTTTGAGGGCAATTATCAGGAGAGCAGCTCGCGTTGGACAGGAGAGGTGAGCTGTGAAGAGGAGCAGAGCTGGATAAAGCCATGACTCCAGTCCAGCTGAACAGCGGTCCGGATGCAGCTCTTCATTAACTGCCGGCCTGTTAATTGCTAGTGGCTTTGTGTGAAAATGTGGGCGTGTGTTGACTATTTAGTGGCTCACTCTTTTCAAACGCGCACACAAATAGTAACACGTTATCCGTTAGCAGACGGAACGGGAATAGTAATGCTTTCGGATGAATCTCATTAAAAAGGTCAAGAAAACATTTATATAAAGATATGATTTTGGGGTTAATATGACCTGCAAAATAAGTATATATACACCATACATAAACCTAAATTATGCATTTATATAATATACATACATATTTATATATTTATGCATATTGCAAATACATTGTTTCATCCTAATAGCAAAGCAAATTCAAATAAAATCTGCTTCATCAAAAATCAAAGAAATTATATTGCACATCAGTGCAAATAGGTGCAAAAATTAAATTAATAATTATATATAAAATAATTATATTTTATATAATGATATAAAAAAGCACACATACATTTTAAAATGCATATAATTAATTATAATTATATAAAACTATATATCTGAGTAATATGGTAACATTTAAAAAAACATTTTCATACTGTGATATCCGATTTCTCATAACACCCATCTAAGAAAATATTTAAATTAGAAAATTCATAAAATAAAAAAGTAAATGATCAATTATTTAAAATGTAATTAAAAAACTGGAATAAAAATATATTTAAAAAATAAATTATGAAAAATAGATTTTATTTTAGATGTTAAAATAAATTACATAGAGAGAGAGAATTGTATTTAATATTTAAATAAACATTAATTATAATTATACTGAAAAAAAAAAATTATAATTCTAAATCGTATACATATATTTTCATAATAATAAAATTAATAATTAAATTGTTTTCATACTGCAAATGAAATTTTATTTTTACATTAAAGCATTTCAGGTCACTTTTTAACACAAAATTTATTTATATAATATTCTGACCATATTTTTTGTAAGATTCACTCAACTCATGTACCCATCAGCAGACTAATGGAAAATAATAAAGGTTTTTTGCGCCGAGTGACCCAGAAAAACAATCTTTTGACTTGCTCTGAAATATGAATACTTTAATTATCTCATTTCTTTATACCCCCTATTAAACAACATTCAATCCACCCCAAAAATGACTGTGCAGTGCATTAGGCAGCATGAATGTGATTTCTGTGTGAAGTTCAGACAAAGCGCTCTGTTTCTGACTCAATGCTGCAGGAAACGAAGAGCGAGAAAGAAATGACTCACTGTTCGTTGACGACAAAGATGCAGTTGTCTTGCGAAGGAACGGCTGTGACGGGATGCTTGCAGGTCACCTTTCGCTCATTGTGACTGCAGGAGAGAAAAGAAACAGAAATTGTGAGAATTAGAGACATGTGAGACTGCTGTTCACACTTTGACACTCGATAAAGAGCCGTTCGATGATTGAAATGATTGAACGAGCCACGGGATTCACGTGCTGCCCTGCTGCTAAACATCAGACCATCTGAACAAGACGAGAACATAGAACTCACCAACTGAGAGGAGAAAACCATGGCACGGTCTGCAAACTGTTTCGTATTCACTGTTTTATTGCACAGTCTACACTGGTAGACGCATGCAGGATATTTTCTAGCTGCCACAACAAATATGTAAAACGTAGAATTTAACTGAGGTGTTGTCATGTGTGTATTTGGCTACTATATTACAACAGCACTGAGCATTTTTGGTTTATGTACTTAAGTTAAAAACAAGAAGTAAAATAAACAAACAAACAAACAAAAATCATAATTTGAGTAAAAAGATTTAACAAAAAACTAACCCTTTTACTAAAAACAGAAATAAACAATAAAATTATTTAAATTAAAATAAATTATCTATAAAATAAGTAAATATTAATATAATTGAATAAGAACAAATAAATTATATATACATATGTATACACACACACATATACAGGTGCATCTCAATAAATTAGAATGTCGTGGAAAAGTTCATTTATTTCAGTAATTCAACTCAAATTGTGAAACTCGTGTATTAAATAAATTCAATGCACACAGACTGAAGTAGTTTAAGTCTTTGGTTCTTTTAATTGTGATGATTTTGGCTCACATTTAACAAAAACCCACCAATTCACTATCTCAACAAATTAGAATACTTCATAAGACCAATAAAAAAAACATTTTTTAGTGAATTGTTGGCCTTCTGGAAAGTATGTTCATTTACTGTACATGTACTCAATACTTGGTAGGGGCTCCTTTTGCTTTAATTACTGCCTCAATTCGGCATGGCATGGAGGTGATCAGTTTGTGGCACTGCTGAGGTGGTATGGAAGCCCAGGTTT